TGTACTATTTTTCAACTTCTTATAAATCTATAATTATTTCCAAAACAAAGTTGTTTTTAAATTAATGTGTGTTCATTGTATATTTTATTTATTTATTTATTTTTTTAGGTAAGAGAAGAATTCAGAGCCAAGACTCAAATTATAAGAGAAAGTTTACTTAGAAAGTCACAGAGGTAGAAGAAATGAGCTCAGAAAACAAGTTACTGCAAAAGAAGGGCCCTTGGAGCTTAGGAGAGGGTGGGGGAGGTGGGGGAGAGGGGTGGGGGAGAGGAGGGAGGGGTGGGGGAGAGAGGAGAGAGAGGAGAGAGACGTGCCTTGAGAGACAAGAGGAGAAAGAGAGGTCTGGGCATGCTGGGTGGTCCCTGGGGAGAGAAGACGGTGGGAAAAGGTACAGTGTGCTCCATAGAGAGAGTCCTGTATGTTCATTGTCAAAAAATTTCAGGAAATACAGAAAAATATAAAAGTGATGATCTCATCATCTCTTAGACTTAATCTGTCTATGTTCTGATATATTTCTCTCCAGACTTATTCCTTCTCTTCTTAATGGTATCATAACACCATGGTGGCAACTCTGAGGACCAACACTCTCCTTCCGCACAGGAGATAACGCAGGCCAGGGAGACAGGTTGTTAATAAAAGAGGAACACCGCCAGCCCTGACTTGATGGTTAGCCACATAACCCGGCCTCCTGTGCTTGGCCTCGTCTGATCCCTCCCCGAGCTGAGCAGTACGGATCAGATAGGGATTGGAGGGTCTCGATTTATTGAGTCAGGGAGAAAAGATATCAAGGTTAGTGAGTAGAAACAGAAGAAATTACAGCTAGTAAATTCAGCAGAATGTACACAGGCCGGTCAGACTTTGTGCAGAGAGAGAGAGAGAGATTATTCAAGGGAGAGAAAAAAAAGTGTTTAATTTTTACATTCTTGCTACCAGGAAACAGAGGCAGTCAAGAACTCAGTGGGTGTTTAACCAAACAGACTTAAGGTTTTGGTCAAGGATGGACTTCCCGTCTCCACTCAGGGTTGCCCTGACAACCTACTCCGTCTGGTATTGACATTATTGTGAGAAAGAAAGAAAAACAGGCAGATGAAGAAAACAGTCATCAGAGGCAGAACCAGCTGCGGTCTGACTTGCTTCATCTTGGGGCGTCGGGTGTGGGGTCTAGGGAGAAGCCTGGGAGAGGCAGAGGGCTCTGGGGCTAGTGTTGCAGATGCCTGAGAACCAGAAGGAGAGTTGGGGTTTCTTGTACAACAGTAGCCTTGAGCATACATGCTAGAGATCAGAAATTTTGATGAAGCCATTCGGTGTAAATGAAATCTCAGTGTTGTATGTCCTCATTGACCCCCTGCTCTTTTCGGATTTGTCAAGGGTGCTTAGAAGGAAACCCCAGAACCCCAGGCTCAGGCAATGGTAGCTACTCACTCTTCCAGCAGAACTCAGAATTACCACATCAGCCTGGGGCTTAGACCCCTCTCATCTTCCATCACCAGAAGGGTTGGGGCCATCAGAGGAGGCAATGAGAATGGAAGACAGAGTTAACAGTAGTTACTACTCTCTTCTCTTCCAGATAGGGAAACTGAGGCTGAGACATTGACTAACTCACCCAAAGTCACAAAGCGAAGTGTCAGGATTTAAACCCAGGATGGATCAAGTCAAAGTCTTTGCTTGGCGATGACCTCGCTCTCTGAAGCAGGGCAGGGGTTCTCAGAGTCAGATTCCCCTGGAGGGATTGTTACACACATCACAGGGCCCACCCTAGAGTTTCTGACGTGGTAGCTCTGGGGAATGGCTTTAGAATTCGCATTTCTAAGAAGTTTCCAGATGGTATTGGTGCTGCTGGTAGGAGGAACACTCCTTGAGAAGTGCTTACATAAAGCAAGCCGCGTGGTCCTTGGACCTCAAGTCTAGTCTTTGTAAAACAAGGAGTAGGACTAGTTTTCCTTCTTAAAATATGTTCTGAGGACCCTACCTGCTTTAGAGGTGCCTTAGCCATGGGGCGGGGGGAGAAGGGTGAGGGAGTTCAGGTCCCCCTTCTTCAAGCAAGCACTCCCCTTGCATCTCTTTACGTATTAGGGTTCCAACTGGGGTTTTATTGGGGAAAAAGCTTTCTGCTAGTCAACACAAAGCCAAGAATTATAAACTACTGAACTAAAAGATATACAAACTCTGTTTGTTCCTGTTATCTGTTGCTGTGGCTTCAAACAAGCGTTTGAATATATGATTCTGTGGGTCAGGAGTCTGGGCAGGGCTCAGCTGGGCAGACCTGCCCTTCACGGTTACTCACGGCTACTCAGCCGGCATCGGGCTGGTCTGGACGGTCCAAGGTGGCTTCACGCCCATGTCTAGAGCCTTGTCGGTGGTGGCGGGATGGCTGCACTCAGCAGTGGCTGTTGACGGGGACAGCTACACATGCCCTTCCCACCATGTGGCCTCGGGGTTGCTGCACTGCACAGAAGCTCAGGGCCTAGAGTTCCAAGAGATGGAACGTGGAAACCACTGGTCTCTTAAGGCCCAGGCCTGGAAACTGGCATACCACCACGTTGTCATTTCTGTTTGTCAACGTAGTTGACAGAGCTCGCCATCCCCAGATTCCAGGGAAGGGCACATACCCAAGTTCTCAGGGAGCGGATGTTTCGTGGGTCTCTTTGAACTCAGAAGCCCTGGCCATTCCTGAACCTTAATGATGGTGAGATCCTCATCTCTGAGCCGGATGCAGTAAAGAGATGAGAATGTTGGGGTGGTGTATTTTGCATGTGTGAGAAATGTAAAGAATCTGAGGCCGGGGGTGGGGGGTGGGGGGTTGTAATCTGTGCTGAAACACCTGCTTATGAAGTCCAGTCATCCTGCTGTGGGGAGCCCGATGGGAGAAACCTGGCCCCCCATCTCCACCCAAACAGCCCAGCTGAGCCCCCAGCCCACAGTCAGCACTCACTTGCCAGCCATGCATATGAGCCAGCTAGGAAGGTTTGGTCGTCCTGCCCCATCCAACGCTATACCATATGGAGTGACTCCACACCAAATAAGGCACGGACGTCATTAGTGTTTTGTGTCAACTTGGCTGGACCCCTAAGCCCAGATATTTGGTCAAATATTATTCTGGATGTTTCTGAGAAGATGATTTTTGGATGAGATTAACATTTAAATCAGTAGACTTTGGGTAAAGCAGATTACCCTCCAGAATGTGGTGGGCCTCATCTAATCAGCTGAAGGCCTAAACAGATCAAAGACTGACCTTCCTGAGCAAGAAGGATTCTGCCAGCAGCTGGCCTTTGGACTCTATCTGCAGCTGTGAGCTCCATGGAACTCTAGTGTTTGATGAGTGTTAGGTCCTCAGCTAATAAAAAACCGTTTCCATGGTCAATTGTGTTTGGGGCAAGGTTTGGCCAAACAATGCTTAAAAGTCTCTGTGTTGCAGAACTTCTCATGTCTTAGCTGTAAATCACTTTCTGTATAGCACATCTGGAGCCTTGGAGAGGCTGATCTGGGCTTATCACAAGCTTCCTGACCGTGAATATTTATTCTGTTTTGAAAGTGGGTCATCCTGGTGGGTTTTCCTTCCTTTAGTGTCTCATTTATGGGTAAAGGGAAAAGTGATGCGTCACTTTGCTCTCTTCCATCAGAGTGGCACTGTCAGCCAGGAAGTCTCCAGTCTGGGAGCTAGTGCCCATCTCAGCCCGCCCCCGGCTTGTCCTTTCTGCCAGGAAGTTTGAACCACACTATTAGATGTTCTAGAGCAGAACCAATGTATTATTTATGCCCTTTCTGCTGGCAAAGGATGCTAATGAGATACTAATGCATAGTTTGTTATCGTTTCAGTGCAATTCCTGGAAGACTTATTTTTGCTCTGGGCCATTGCCTCAGCCCCCTACTGGCCATGCAAGGAAGCGGGGCAAAGAAGTCAAGGAACCTAAGACTTTCTTCATGACTGTGGAGGCCAAACTATCTATCTCCACAGTTAGAGCTCCAGAGAACATGTGTCTTTCTTCTCTTCATCTGCAGGACCAAAGAGGGTGCTTAGTATTTGCAGAATGTTCAGACATTGTTTGATGGGTTGAATTGAATTGTTCATATGTGGTTAGTTCAGTTCAGAAGGAAACTTGGTTATTTTGATAGGGATCAGACTTTGCCCTTGGATCTGCTAAGCAAATTTAATATGTAAACAAGACTCAGGTAGAGATTTTAAACACTGTCCAAAGAAAAATATATATTTTTCAAGCTCTTTGGCAGCCTCTATTTGAAGATCAGTTGGATAATTTCAAATGACTGAAATGTCTTTATTCAAGTAAGTTCAATAGGACCAATCTCTATTTGACAACATTCTAATTCTTGTTGGCTTTTACTATATGGCCTAAAGAAGTAATTCATTTTCATTTCTTTTTCCTTTCCTTCCTCCCTTTTTATTAAAGTTCTCTTATTCAAGCTTCCCACTCATTCAGATGCGTCCTTGAATGTGAGCTCATGGATCTTGTCTTTATTTCCGCGTTGCTCTCGTGTTGCAATCAACTCTGTCACACCAGAGCTATCAGTTAGCTCTTTGCTGCTCACCGGGTGCTCCGTGGACTGGCAGCATCAGCATCTCTCAGGAGCCTGTTAGAGTTGCAGAATCTCAGGCCTTCCCCTGAGTGGCCTTCCTTCTGATCGCTGGGTGATTCGCAGGCATGTACATGTTTGAGAAGCAGAGGTTTTACTAACCTGGACGGTGTCTCTGTCTCATACCATGCAGATGATGTGGGGGTGGATGCAGAAGAAACGTCCTGAAGATATACCCCTGCAGTTTATCAGCAAAGTAGCCTCCGCCCTCATGGATCTGCACACTAGGTGGGTTTCTTTGCCCCTCCCCCACCTCTTGGAAGGGGCAGCCCCACACCGATACTAAGGACGCATTTACATTGTGCCAGCCCCTGTACCAACTGCTTTACACACGTTCTCTGGCTTAATCCTCCTGACAAATCTGTGAGCTAGGTCCGCTCCCATCCCCTGTGAGATGAGGAGCCTGAGGATCAGGGAGGTGAAACAGCTTGCTTGCTGCCACCCAGCTTGGCACAGTGCCTGGCCTACGCAGAGAGGGGACGAGGAGCCGAGAAAGAAGGAACTCCAGGATGCTCCTCAGACACAGGTCGTGATTATTCTGAAAGGTGACTGGTAGGAAAAGTACAGGTATGTTTGGCACCTTCCTCTCTACTTGGGGTGGGATTGTCATCAGCCACTGGGAAGCCTCTGGCATGTGAAGAGCACAGTGACAAATCCTGGCCATTGCAAGATATCGAGGGGCAGCAACATTATTGTTATCATTTCTATGATCCATCAGCTCCAAAGCCCCCTCCATGTGCCTGGCACTCGTTAAATTCTTCCCATACCCAGGCCCTACCCCTCACAAATTGGGCGGAGTAGGAAACTGAGGCCAGAGCTCTCTGTCTGTTGTATAATTTGGGCTGGAAAACACTGGACTGGATCTTTGGGAATGACATGCGATTTTCTGTCCCCTGTATATGAAGCTGTGGTGCTCATCAGGGATCGGAGAAGCATAATCATTGACTTAATTAATTTATTGTTACTTGGGAAGAGAAGACACAAGCACATAAATTCAAGGGCTAATTAACTCTACAAGAATATGAGATGTCAATCAAGGTGGTATGGTGAAACCACCTAAGACTTAGGTGGCAGAGATGTAGGGACTATAGGATCTTATTAACATTTATGTATTAAAATTGCAGATGTCACCAAAAGATGAGTGAGACACATTCCATACATTTGCAAGTAAATATATATTACTGAGAGCTGACTTTTAGACTGACAATAACAAATTTTGTCAATATTCAGGTCAGATGTAACTCAAAACTTTGAGTTTTATACATTCTGTATTTCTTAAAATAGGATTATCTTTTTCAAGAAGCAATCACAAGTCCTAAGAAGATTTTCGACAATGGAAAGGATTTTTTTCTTCCTTGTAATGAACAGATTAAAAGCTTAATCCCCAGGTCTGTCTCTGTGTCCAAGTATAATTGTGGTGTGAGTCACTCCAAGTGGGTTTTTCATTTACGCGCAACAACTGTAAGTCATTCTTTGGGGAAAAAAACCCACAAAAAATTAAAAGTCAACAAAAGAGGTCACTTTCAGCAAAGTTTGTACCTGGAAGGGGTGCCCATAATGTGTACTTTTACATATCAGGCTCCTAGGAAAATCCTGATTTTACTCCAGCCACTCAAGGCCAAGATTGCTTTGTGACAACTTTCAGGAGAGTGTTACTCCCATTTTCTTGGTTACTGACTTCACAGACATGTCAAGATCATCATGAGTCTTTTGGCCCATGAAGGTAAGCTTAACTCTCAGGTCAGCAAGAACTGTTAAAGAAAACTTATCCATAGCTGCTTCTTCTGTCTCAAATTTCCCTCTGCCTATAAGGACACTTGAGATTGCATTTTGGGCCCATCAGGATAACCTCTCATATCAAGATTCTTCACTTAATCACATCTGCAGAGTTCCAGGGATCCGAGCCTCGATATCTTTGGGGCCATTAGTCAGCGTCCCACACAAGCTAATAGCAAAAGGAGCACAGGAACCTATCATAAAGAGAAAGAAAGGCCCCTAGGACCCCATCGTCCCTAGCGATCATCACAGGAAATAGTTTGGGACATACTTTTCATGAATATACTAAACAATATTTTTCTTTTATTTCCTTTTAAAAGTAAAAAATGGCCTGGCCGGTTTGGCTCGGCGGTTAGAGCATTGGCCCACAAACCAGAGAGGCCCGGGTTTGGTTTCTGCTCAGGGCACATACCTCATTTGCAGTTTGTCCCCAACAGTTGGGGTTGTGTGGGTGGCAACCACTTGATGTGTCTCTCTCACATCGACGTTTCTTGCTCTCTCTTTCTCCCTCTCTATCTGAAGATAAATGCAAAAATGTCCTCAGGTGAGGATAAAAATAAAATAAAAATAAAAGTCAAAAATGGGATAACATCCTCCACGGCCCAGCGATTTGTCTCTTTCATTTAATAATGTATCTTTGCAGTGAGCTCTTTAACAGTGAAAGGGATTTACTTTCATGCTGCTGTCTTCTTTGATGTAAAAATAGCAACTTTCCAGTAAAGCAAGTGACTTAAAAAAAAATTCCATTTGAAATAATCTCTCAGAAATGTCAATGTTTTAATTCATAAGAGAAAAGAGATTTTAAACCAAAATAAAGGCTTCTTAGAACTTAGTATTTGGAATGGATTAGAGAAAGGGCCCTCCAGTTTTAAATGGCTGCAGCATGACATACCTGAAGGTTAAAATCTTGAAGTGTGGCCAGTTAATGTGAGGGTCAATGCTTCCACGGCATCAGTTTAAATTAAGCATCTGTGTGACTTTAGGCAAGCTGTAGCCAATCTCTGGCCCCACCTTTGACATGAGAGTATTGGACTGGAAGTTTTCTAAACCCCTAAAGATCTTCCATTCTGCAATTCTGGAGAGGTACTTTTCTAGTAGGCTAGAGACCCTTATTTGAATACCAAACCTTTTACTAACTTGCTATGACCTTGAGCTTGACAGTCAGCTCCATTGGGCCTCAGTTTATTCATCTGTAAAATGAGCAGGCTGGATTAGACTGTTCTCAAGAGCCTTTCTAATTTGCAAATTCTAACATAGTGAGTCTCAAACTTCAATGTGCCCAAGAATGCCCTGGGGCCCATTGTGTGGCTCAGTGGCTGAGCATTGACCCATGCACCAAGAGGTGGCGCCAGTCAGGGTACATGCCCAGGTTGTTGGCCCGATCCCCAGTGGGGGGCATACAGGAGGCTGCCAATTGATGTTCTCTCTCATTGATGTTTCTATCTCTCTCTCCCTCCCCCCCTAAAAACAAACAAACAAATATATAAATTAAAAAACACACACACACACAAAAAAGAATCCCCAGGGGATTTTGTTAAAATGCAGAATCTGATTCAGCAGGTCTGAGGTAGTGTTGGGAGCTGACTACGTGTCTGACGGAGTCCACGAAGACTAGAGGTCTTGAGTCAGAGACTCAACCTCCCCACAATCTCAAGGAATTAGGCTTGCATTGTGTTTGTGCAGCTCAGGGCTAAGTGTGACCCAATGTACCTTGAAATACCCTAGATAACAGACTGGGTGGGCCTGGGTTCTTCTGGGTGCTCCCGTTAACCATAAGGCAAACTAATTCTATACAGCATTGCTGTAGCCCTGGGCATTATAGCAAGAAGATCCTATTTTCTTATATCACTAAACTTTGAATTTTTTTATCCTCATCCAAGGACATTTTTCCATCTTTTGTTCAGGTAGAGTGGGAGGGAGAGAGAGGAACAGAGAGAGAGAGAGAAACATCGACGCGAAGGGACACATCGAGTGGCTGCCACCCGCATGACCGACCAGGGCCGGGGACAAACTGCAAGCGAAGTACGTGCCCTTAGCGGGAACCGAACACGGATCTCTCAGGACCGCAGGCCGACGCTCTAACCGCTGAACCAAACCGGCCAGGGCTTTAAAATTTTTTTTTTTTTATATATCACTAAACTTTTGCTGTAAGGTATAAAAGGCATGTAATAAAGCATATCGCCGCTGATCCCGCTGAGGACAGTCCTCCTGACCCCACACCCGCATCTTCGTCTTCATTCCCACTGCTCGAACTCAGGGACTCTGCTCTCCAGGCTGGTTCCTGGCAAGGTGGCGCCCGAACAGGGCCCTGAGTACTTGAGACACAACTGAAGGTAAGGCGAGGGACTCCTCTAAGGCGGCGCGCAGTAAGGAAAGGGAGAAGAGGAGCCGTAGATGGAATAGTCAGGAGTAAAGGGAAATGGGACAATAGGGTCATCTCAGCGCCTTTTTGCGCAGTTAATTCAGTCTACGCTCCAGGCAAGGGGAGCCAAGGTATCTGAGGAGCAAATACTTAAATTTTTAAAGTTTATTGAATGGGTTTGTCCTTGGTTTCCAGAGGAAGGAACAGTTAACATGAAAACATGGGAAAAGGTAGGAGAAAAATCAAGAGAATGGTATACTGCTCATGGCCCAAAATCCCCATAGATGCATTTTTCTCTGTGGAGTTTAGTGAGGGATTCGTTGGACCCATCATGAAGCTGAGCGATCCCCGAGAGAAGTGGAAAAGCCTCTGAAGGCAGAGAATGAAGAGAAGGATTCTGGATGGGATATGGAGGAGTTAAGCCCCGGAGACCAGGAGGAGTTAGATAATGCTGCAGCTCATTGTCGTGATGAGGGCGTGGGGAAGCCCCCATAGATACTGTGGGGCAGCTTCCTCAGCTGGTACAGTCCTAGAAAGGCCTCATATACTGAGGCCTATCCCTCCGCTCCTGCTGCTCCTGAGCCTGCTCCTGCTTATCTCCCCTCAAGAGGAAGTGGGAGGATTGTGACTGCTGGGGACAGTCCCTCGCCGCTGCAACCAGCCCTAGTGCGAGCAGAGGAACCAGGGGAGGGTGTCTGGGATTCGGGGTCTCACCTATTCCCAGTAGTAGGAGCACGTGATCCTAATAATCCTGATCAAGTGCAAAGGTCATATTCTCCTCTAGCTATGAAGACACTGAGAGAGCTGAAGACCGCCGCAGCCCAGTACGGACCCACGATGCGTATACTCTAGCGGTTCGAGAAGGAATTTCACGGGAGGCACTTATCCCTCATGGTTGGAAAACATGAGCGAAAGCCTGGCTTGCGGGAGGGATCACCTGACTTGGAAAGCAGAGCTCTGTGATCGGGCCTGTTAGCTGCCCACCGCGATCAGGCTGACAATATTCCCAATACTTACGACATGTTAGTAGGAGAGGGGCATATATTACTACTAATGCTCAAGCTGTATTCCCGGGAGAAGCTATCAGACTGTTAATGCCGTAGCACTACGTGCCTGGGCGGCTCTACCTACTACAGGAAAGACAGAGGAGCTATCAAAAATTAGACAAGGGCCGGATGAACCGTATGCTGATTTCATAGCTAGACTAGTACAGGCCACAGGAAGAACAGTTACAGATGAGGAAGCAGGCAAGGTCCTAACTACTCAACTGGCTTTTGAGAATGCACATCCTTGCCCTGGCCGGTTTGGCTCAGTGGTTGGAGCGTTGGCCTGCGGTACAGAGAATGCACATCCTGCCTGTCAAGCGGCTATTCGACCATGGAAGCAAAAGGGAGATGTGGATGATTATATCAGGTTATGTGCAGATGTAGGTCCCTCCCACATTCAGGGTCTTAGCCTTGCAGCTACTTTGCAGAGAATGACACTGCAAGGGCTAATACAACAGCTGCAAAAAGAAAAAAAGGGAAAAGGAAAATGTTACAACTGTGGAAAGAAAGGTCATTTTAGCAGAGAATGTTGCTTGAAAGGGGGGGTCAGTAATCATGTACAGGGTAGCAATCAACGCCCGCCTGGCCTATGTCCAAAATGCCAAAAGGGAAAGCACTGGGCTAATGAATGTAGGTCAAACACAGACAAAGATGGGAATCCTCTCAATCAGCAGGGAGACTCCCGACGGGGGCAGCCTCGGCCCTGCAGACAATCGGGGCAGTGTCGGTGTACACGCCGCAAGCCTACCCGGCCGGCGAGGGGTACAGGGCCTCTGCCGAGCCACCCCAGGGAGTGCAGGACTGGACATCAGTGCCTCCTCCTACTTTGTATTAACACCTGAAATGGGACCTCAAGCTATTCCTACTGGAATGTAGGGGCCTCTGCCCTCCGGGACAGTAGGGCTATCATTGGGAAGAAGTGGACTCACCATGAGAGAGCTGCAGGTGTTACCTGGAGTCATCGATGATGATTACACAGGAGAAATTGAAGTCATGTGTATAGCTCCTAGAGACGTTATAACTATTATAGCAGGGATGAAAATTGCACAACTAGTGTTAGTTCCTCTAAAAGTTACAGGACAAACTCCTCTCAAAACAGGGGGTCTCACGGATTCGGCTCCACTGATGCAGCATATTAGGTGCAAGCCATTGGTTCTCAACGACCAGAAAGAACATTAACTATCAGTGGAAAAAGGTTTAAAG